TGCCTCCACCCTCCTTTTGACCGAGGCCCAGCAGGGCAAGGAGTATGAGCTGGTGCTGACGGACCACGCCAGCCTCACCAGGTGATCAGCTGCACAGTCCCTGCTACCTGGGGCCCTATGGGACCATGCTGGGGACCTGGCGCATGAATTCAGAAGCCCTTGGGCCCGACCTCACTCCCACTTGCACCCCACCAGGTGCCGCCTGGGTGATGTGGTACGAGTGGTTGGTGTCTACAATCAGTGCCCGGTCGTCAGGTTCATCTACAGGTAGGTGACCCCGGGGAGCTAAAGGGCCATCCTTGTGTCCTGGGCTCCACTGCCTCTCCCTTCCTCCTCTTCAGGCTGGGCCAGACCCTGAGTGTGCGAGGGGAAGATATTGGCGAGGACCTGTTCTCTGAGGCCCTGGGCCGGGCAGTGGGGCAGTGGCCCGGGGCCAAGCTGCTGGACCACGGCTGTGTGGAGAGCAGCATTCTGGGTGAGCTTCCCCACTGGCTCCTGCCTACCATCCTTGGGCTACCCTTCAACTTCTACCTCCTCTGCCAGGGGACTGCTAGGAAAGAGGTAACACTCAGCCTCCTTTACCACTCCTACAAAAGTCCTTCTCTGCATCTAACTCTCATCCATCCTGCTGCAGTCTCTACCCATTTTCTTTCCTGATCTGTCTCCTATTTAGGATCAAACTCTAGGTTCCTCTCCATTTATCCCACTCCCCACCAGGAAACTCTTTTTTCCCTAAAACCTCAGAGTGGGGAAGAACAGATGGGGCAGAGGACACTAGACTTGGCAGTTGCCCATTCACTGGAAGTATGTGTGCACATGGGGTCTGTTCACAGATTCTTCTGCGGGCTCTGCTCCCCACTACGAGGTGTTTGTGGCGCTGAGGGGGCTGAGGAATCTGTCGGAGGAAAATCGAGACAAGGTAAAGGAGACGAAGACAGGGTCTGACTGTAGAGCCCTTCACTCTGCACACTCCCAGGGTGCGTGGAGATCAGGGCTGATGGGGAGGAGAGCGGCAGCAGAGGGGAAGCTCCCTGGGGCTCTGGGAGGGGAGCGCTGAGTCCCACAGACACACACCTGTCCACGCAAAACTTCTAAACACATGTAGCCTGGACACAGCCACACATGCCTCATGTGCACACTCATGGTCACGCACCAGCTCACTCACGCTGTTCTGTTCCCAGCTGGACCACTGCCTTCAGGAAGCCTCTCCCCGTTACAAGTCCCTGCGGTTCTGGGGCAGCGTGGGCCCTGCCAGAGTCCACCTGGTGGGGCAAGGGGCCTTCCGAGCACTCCGGGCAGCCCTCGCTGCCTGCCCCTCCTCCCCGTTCCCGCCTGCGATGCCCCGGGTCCTCCGGCACAGGCACCTGGCCCAGTGCCTGCAGGAGAGGGTGGTGTCCTGAGTCAAGGCCTGCCCCACCACCCAGCTTCCCCCAGAGGCCACCTTGCTCCTCCCTCTGGGACCTCTCTGGATGGGGAGTCCTTGGCCGGGGTCTCTGACTCTGTGTCACCTGACATTTGCCCATGAGAGCCGCTGGGCCTTAGGGAGGCCTTGGCCCAGCTGACCAGTTCTAAGGTATGGGCCTCTGGGGTTAGTAGACGCCAGCAGTGCCTGCCCGTGTCCCTGTGTCCAGGCATGGAGGACACTGCTAGAGAGTTACCACGCACACCAATGGTTTCCTGTATCACAGCCCAAGGGGGTTCTCTGGCAGCCACAGCTGTGTGCTCAGTCAGTGCACTGGGCAAGCTGGAAGTGTCGGGGGGTTAATGTCTCCAGGAGCAACCCTGAGTCAATAAGGAGCAGGACCTCAGCTTCACTGTCCTTGAGCAGGACAATTCTGAAGTGTATTCTACATAAACTCTCAGAGGATGCCCAGCAGGATGGCGTCCCAGTTGCTCACAGCAGTAACCCACTCATTCATGTACTTCCTGCAGGGGCTCCTCCCTTCCCTCTCTTCCCCACTCCCCACTTGGGCTTCCTGGGATGGCTCCCAAATAAACCTCTTGCACCCAGATTCTTGCCTCAGAGTCTGCTTTGGGGAAACTGGGGAGTGGACCCCGGCCCAGCCATTCCTTCACTGAGCTCCAGGACTTTCCCCCAACATTCTGGTCTGGGCCTGGCGAGGCTGCATGTGCACACAGGAGCCTTTGGGGACTCCTAGCACATCCCAGGCCAGCACCCACAAACCACTTCTGCGGTGGGGAAGGGACAGCTATTTTTCACATCGTAAGGCGTCGTCCCAGGAAGCAACCCCAGAGACCATCTGGGTTCACTGTTCCATACCAATGAGGAAACGCAGCCTCCACAAGGTTGTAGAGGCTAAAATAAAAGAAAAAAAGAAACTGGGCTAGGTTTTGGCTTCCTTCCCTCCCACTGCCCGGGCTGAGTTTTTAAGGTTTTCCATCTTGGAGGCTGGTGGGAGGGGCAGACCAAGACCTTGCAGCTCCTCCTAAGTAGAGGCAGCACCAGTTCCAGATGCCTTTGAATGACTTCTCCATTCCATGTCCTACATCCAGGGCCTCGCTGCATACCCACCCGGCCCCCACCCCAGCCTGTCACTCCATCCTATTAAAATCTTCCCATGAAGCTGGGCACAGTGGCATGGGCCTGTAGTCCCAGCTACTCAAGAGGCTGAGGTGGAAGGATGGCTCATGCTCAGGAGTTCAAGACCAGCCTGGGCAACACAGCGAGACCATCTCGAAAAAAAAAAAAAAATTCCTCCCATGGTAGCCCCCATCACCCACAGGATTCAGACCAATCAGCTTGGCCTATTAGACCCTTTGACCTTGGCCCTCACCTACATGTCCAGCTGCCTCTCTCCCCTTGCTGGAAAGAAGGCCTGGACTAAGGACCACACCTCACCTCCCATCTAAGGGTTGTTAAGCACTGTCAACTCCAGGATTTTGCTCAAGTGGTCCCTTCTATGTAATGCCCTCCATCCCGCTGCCCCTGATGTAAACTAGCTTTCATGCAAGGCCTTTGAGGACCCCCTACCAGGCCCACCCCAGGCAGAGTGACTGGCTCAACTTTGCTCACGTGGGCAGAAGTCCTCTCCTTCACCGAACTATCCTTATGCCTGAACTGCCTCCCACCTAGAATGATGAGCTCCTTGGAAACTGGGCCAGGTCCTGTGCACAGTTGCCCCCATGCCCAGTGCCTGGTGTAGCACAGAGCAGGAGCTCAATAAAGAGGTTGTAGGCCAGGCACCATGGCTCACACCTGTAATCCCAGCACTTTGGGAGGCCGAGGCAGTCAGATCACCTGAGGTCAGCAGTTCGAGACCAGCCTGGCCAACATGGTGAAACCCTGTTTCTACTAAAAATACAAAAAAATAGCTGGACATGGTGACGTGAACCTGTAATCCCAGCTACTTGGGAGGCTGAGGCAGGAGAATCGCTTGAACCCAGGAGGTGGAGGTTGCAGTGAGCCAATGTGCCTTTGCACACTAACTTGGGCAACAGGAGTGAAATTCTGTCTTCAAAAAAAAAAAAAAAAAAAAAAAAAAAAAGAGGTTGTGAATAAGAGAAGCTTAGACCTGGAGATGACATGTGTTCTTCACTGCATGGTGGCTCACTCCGTGGTGACTGTAGAGTGGGACTACATCCCTCCCCTCCAGGTAGCCTGAGCCAGGGAGAAAGCTGGGGAGGTAGAAGCTTTCTATCAGCTTCTGGTAGAAACCGAGTTTGGTCAGGCACAGTAGCTCACAGCTGTCATCCCAGCACTTTGGGAGGCCAAAGGGGGAGGATGGTTTGAGCTAGGGATTTGAGACCAGCCTGGGAGACCCAGTCTCTACAAACAAATTTAAATATTAGCCAGGGATGGTGGCACGCATTTGTGGTCCCAGCTGCTTGTGTAGCTGTGGTGAGAGCACTGCTTGAGCCCTGGCATTCGGTGCTGCAGTGAGCAACGGTTGTCCCACTGCACTCCAGCCTGGGCAACAGAGTCAAACTTTGTCAAGAAAGAAAATAAAGAGAGAAGGCCAGGCGTGGTGGCTCATGCCTATAATCCCAGCACTTTGGGTGGCTGAGGCAGGCGGATCACCTGAGGTCGGGAGTTCAAGACCAGCCCGACCAACATGGAGAAACTCCGTCTCTATTAAAAATACAAAATTAGCCGGGCATGGTGGCGCATACCTGTAATCCTAGCTACTCAGGAGACTGAGGCATGGGAATCACTTGAACCCTGGAGGTGGAGGTTGCAGTGAGTTGAGATTGCGCCATTGCACTCCAGCCTGGGCAACAAGAGTGAAACTCTGTCTCAAAAAAAAAAAAAAGAAAGAAAGAGGGAGAGAGTGAGAGAGAGAAAGAAAGAAATGCGAGAAGGAAGGAAGGAAGGAAGGAAAAAAAAAAAAAGAGGATGGATGCGGTGGCTCACACCTGTAATCCCAACACTTTGGGAGACCGAAGTGGGTGAATCACTTGAGACCACCCTGGCCAACATGGTGAAACCCCATCTCTATTAAAAATACAAAAATTAGCTGGTTGTGGTGGTGTGCACCTGTAATTCTAGCTATTCGGGAGGCTGAGGCAGGAGAATCACTTGAACCCAAGGCAGAGGTTGCAGTGAGCCAAGATGATCATACCACTGCACTCCAGCCTGAGCGACAAGACCAAAATTTAGTCACACACACACACACACACACACACACACACACACACAGAGAGAGAGAGAGAGAGAGAGAAGAAAGAGAAATTGGGCTTAGTTTTAGCTTCTTACCTCCTACTGCCTAGGCTGGGTTTTCAAGGTTTTCCATATCAGAGGCTAGTGGAAGGGGCAGAAGGGGAGAAGAAAGCTAGGGGGAGGGGGGCAGCTAAGGAACCTTTCCATGAAGGAAGAAGGTCCTGGAGCCTAACAGTCCCCAGGGGCAGTGACAAGAAGCAGGGGAGGGAGAGGACTGCTGCTGGCTGCTCCACCCCCTACACACAGAATGTGGGGTCTTGCGCATCTGCCTCTCTCCTGCCCCTAATTAGTAGCTGCCTCCCTCCATATTGTCCCAGGCCAGCGCCTCTTTTGTGCTCCCAGATGCCTGGGTGCAAGGTGGCCTCATTAGTGCCCGGAGACCGCCCCATCTCCAGGGAGCAGGCGGACAGACAAGGGGGTGATTAGGGGCACAGTGATCCAACCCTGGCCTCTGAATGCAGCAGCGGCCATTCCTTGGGCCCAGCCTGGAGACGGCCCCCCTGCAGGAGGCTAATCTTAGACTTGCCTTTGTCTGGCCCGGGTGTGGACGCAAGTGCCTGTCAATTCCCTGCCACCTCAGAGCACTATAAACCCAGACCCCTGGCAGAGGGTCACAATCGACAGCCTCAAGGTTCCTGGCTTTTTGAACCACCGCAGACATCTCCTTTCCCGGCTGCCCCACCCTGAGCACCAGATACCATGAACCTTCCTTCCACAAAGGTAAAGACCCAGGGACGGAGGGGCGATTCACCAACCCAGAGAAGCAAAACTAGCGCTTGCTCAGAGGGCTGGAAGAAAGGCCGAGGGTGTCTCCACTCTTGGTCTTTTCCTGGGTGTGCTCTGAGGCAGGAGCACCTGCCTTGGCTCACACTGGGTTGGGTGCTGTTTTGCTAAGAGCCTGTGTTTGCTGAGCTCTTACTATGTGTCAGGTGCTCTGTTTGCTCTTTTTTCTGTCAGCTCTTTTCATCCTCCCAGCAGCCCTGCAGAGTAGGAATTATTTCTAGTATACCTAGTTTACAGGTAAGGGAGCTGTGCCCTCCGAAAGGGCAGGAAACTGGTTCAAAGCCACGGAGTTCAGTTACTCCAGAAAGGGGGCAGGGAGATGGGACAGCATTCTGGAGTCTTGCTAGCTCCTGATTTCCACGTGTTTCCCTGCTGTGGAGAGGAGGTGGCGGGCACTCAGTAGGGCCCGGTGTTCCCCAAGTTTACAACTTCTTCTGCAGACAGACACGCCTGTTTTCAGGTGGAGTGGTAAGTGCCCTAGTGGGGGCACAGTGGCCTAAGTCTCCAGAGGAGAGGGGGATTCATTCTGCCCAGGGGATCTCAAAATACCTCCTGGAGGCGATGCTCTGCTGGATCTTGAAGGAGGAGCAAGTAAAGTAGCCCGATACCAGCAAGGGCGCAAATCTAGGAGAACTAAGTGACAGCCAGAGAGAAGTGCAGGCCCGGAGGGGGCACGGAGCCAGCGGGGTAGGTCCTGGGCGTGGGAGCTTGTGGCGGGCGCCGAGGGAAAACCCCTAGCGCCCTGTCTCCGTTTCCCTAGGTCTGCTGGGCCGCCGTGACGCTACTGCTGCTGCTGCTGCTGCTGCCGCCCGCGCTGCTGTCGCCCGGGGCGGCTGCACAGCCCCTGCCCGACTGCTGTCGTCAAAAGACGTGTTCCTGCCGCCTCTACGAGCTGCTGCATGGCGCGGGCAATCATGCGGCCGGCATCCTCACGCTGGGCAAGCGGCGATCCGGGCCCCCTGGCCTCCAGGGTCGGCTGCAGCGCCTCCTGCAGGCCAGCGGCAACCACGCCGCGGGCATCCTGACCATGGGCCGCCGCGCAGGCGCAGAGCCAGCGCCTCGCCCCTGCCTCGGGCGCCACTGTCCCGCTGCGGCCGCCACATCCGTCGCGCCCGGGGGACAGTCCGGGATCTGAGTCTTTCTTCGGGCCCTGTCCTGGCCCAGGCCTCTGCCCTCTGCCCACCCAGCGTCAGCCCCCAGAAAAACGGCAATAAAGACGAGTCTCCATTCGTGTGACTGGTCTCTGTTCCTGTGCGGTCGCGTCCTGCCCTTATGGGGCGGCAGAGCATCTTGCGGAGGGCGGGAGGGCCTGGAAGCCCGGCTCTGAGGCACCAGCCTTGGCTTTTGCGTGGCTGAATCGAAAACACTCTTGGTTGGGGAGCTCCCAGTGCAAGGCCCTGGGGCACAGAGATAACTGCACAGGTGCATGTTTGGATCGGGGCATGCGGGACCCCCACGATGCTCTGCTAGGCATTCTGTAGCGGGGACTTCACCCAGAGATGCGGAAGGGGAAGGAGAGCGAGAAAGGTTGCAACCGGTCGGTTGCAGCGCTCACGCCTGTAATACCAGCATTTTGGGATGCCAAAGCAGGAGGATCGCTTGAAGCAAGGAGTTCGAGACGAGCCTAGGCAACATAGTGAGTGAGACATCTCTTCAAAAAGTTTTTTTAATTAGCGGGGTATGGTGGGCGAGAGAATCGCTTGAGCCCAGGAGTTTGAGTCTGAGCCATGATTGGGCCACTGCGCTCCAGCCTGGGCGACAGAACGAGACATTGTCCAAAAAAGAAAAGAAAAGAAAAAGAAAAGCAGAAAGGAAAGGAAAGGAAAGGAAGGCAAGCTGCATACAGGAGCAGAATCCAGCTAGGAAGGGGTGGGAGTCAATCCTGCTGAAAAGACAGGGAATATGAACTTCAACAATGAGTCATCCAGAATGGTTGCATCATGGGGTATAGGGTGTGGGGAGTGGAGAGGCTCAGGAAGCAACACGGTTACAGTCAGTGCAGCCCAGCTCCAAAGGCTCTCACAAATCATCAGGCTTTGCACTTTATCTTGTAGGTAACAGAGGCATAGGACATTCTTAAGCAGGAGCAGGACAAGATTTTACTGCAACTCCAGTCAAAGACACCTGTTACTGGTGTTTCCAAAATCCATATATTGAAGTCCTTACCCGTGGCACTTCAGAATGTGGCTGTATTTGGAAATAAGGTCCTTCCAGATGCAATTAGCTAAGATGAGGTCATACTAGAGTGGGGTAGGACCTCTAATCCACTGTGACTGGCGTCCCTATAAAAAAGGGAATTTGAACACAGAAACGCACACAGGGAGAACCTATGTGAACATGAAGGTAAAGATTGGCTCCTACAAGCCAAGAAACACCAAAGATTGCCAGCACCCGCCCCCACTTCCTCCAGAAGATAGGGGAGAGGCATGCAACAGATTCTCCCTCACAGCCTTCAGAAGGAACCAACGCTGCCTTCACCTGACCTTGCTTGGACTTCTAGCATCCAGAACTGTGAGACAATAGGTTTCTGTTGTTTGAGCCACCCACTTTGTGGTACTTTGTTATGGCATTCCTAGGAAACTAATAAAACATCCAAAAGTAGAGACACAGGCTGAGCTTGGTGGTTCATGCGTGTGATCCCAGCACTTTGGGAGGCTGAGGTGGGCGGATCACTTGAGGTCAGGAGTTCAAGACCAGTCTGGCCAACATGGCAAAACCCCATCTCTACTAAAAATACAAAAATTAGCCGGGCATTGAAATGCACGCCTGTGATCCCAGCTACTAGGGAGGCTGAAGCAGGAGAATTGCTTGAACCCAGGAGGCAGAGGTTACAGTGAGCTGAGATCACGCCACTGCACTCCCACTTGGGCGACAGAGCAAGACTCCATCTCAAAAACAGCAAGAACAACAATAACAACAACAAAAGTAGAACACAGAAAAATGCAGCCCTTCTTAGCAATCTAACATCCCAGATAATACCTAGCTCAGAGGGTGGGGAGAATTTAGCCTGCCCTCCTTGCCCATTGGGGTTCCCACGTTCACTGGCTTCAGCTGTTTTGTCGTGGGAAGCAGCCAGCCTCAGCCACAGAACTCAGCTGCCTCAATTTTCTGCATAGGTAGTGAGAAAGTCCTGTGTCTAGTCTCACTTTGGTCCCTCTTGCTGCTGTACCGGTTCCATCCTGGAGAAATCAGAGATCAAAGTTCACCTGTGCACCCTTGGAGATTTGCAAACCGACTCTGCCCACCTCAAAACTATCTTTTTCAGAGGTAGTTTCTCCCAAACTTGCCTCCAGCCTCTCTTCCAGTTGAAGGGCAGCAGAGAGGAGGATTAAGACAGTAGGAAGGCCGGGCGCGGTGGCTCAAGCCTGTAATCCCAGCACTTTGGGAGGCCGAGACGGGCGGATCACGAGGTCAGGAGATCGAGACCATCCTGGCTAACACGGTGAAACCCGTCTCTACTAAAAATACAAAAAACTAGCCGGCGAGGTGGCGCCTGTAGTCCAGCTACTCAGGAGGCTGAGGAGGAGAATGGCGCAAACCGGAGGCGGAGCTTGCAGTGACTGGATCGGCACTGCACTCCAGCCGGCTACAGAGCAAGACTCCGTCTCAAAAAAAAAAAAAAAAAAAAAAAAAAAAAAAAAAAAAAAAAAAAAAAAAACAGTAGGAAGAGGGAAAACAGGGAGGCAACTGCCCTCCAAGGCACTTATTTTGTCCCAACGACATGCATTACGGTATTACATTCTCACGGTAACTGCATCAGGTAAGAATTATCAGCTCCATTTTACAGATGAGGAAAGTGGGGCTTGGAGAGGCTATCAAACGATTAGTGGCTAGAGCTGGAACTCTACCTGGTGGACTCCAAAGCTCTTTTCATTCCACCATGCTGTGTGCTCAGTAGGCAGAGTTCGCCAGGGTGTCTTGGGAAAACTGAGGAAGGAGGCAAGAGTTGGTGGTGCTTTCTAGAGTTGGGGTTTCAAGCCTTCTCATCATCCGTTCTCTACCAGCAAACTAGCCTCTTAACCCTTGCTATCTCACACTGGAGCTACTGGCCTGGGGGTGCTGCGAAATATCTCAACTCCAGCAGGCGGCACTGTGAACCAGACACCAGCCCAGCGTGGACGGCGCGCGGGAAAACCCGCGAGGTGGAGCCACAGGGAGCAGCCAGGGAACCACGTGTGGGGGCGTGGCCACCCTGGAAGAGGGCGAGTCTGTTATGCAAGACCCGCCCATCATTTCAGGCCTCCCCTCCCGGTGGGCGTGCCCCGAATTCTCTCCCCGAGAGACACGCGTGGGCCGCTCCCCTCTGGGAGGAGGGCTGCCCAGAGGGGTGCAGGTGTCGCTAGCGGCCCCTCCCCGTGTGGGGCCACGTGGCGGGTGCGGGCCGAACCCGAGGGGAAGAACCTGGCCCGTGGGGAGGTTGGGGGGGACCGAAGCGGCGCTGAGCGGAGCCGAGAGCTACGGGGTTCGGAGCAGAGGCGGCCACAGCGGCAGCGGCAGTAAGAGGGAGGGGAGGAGGCAGGCGGGCGCATGGGGCGCCCCGGCCCCTCCGGCAGCGTGCCCCCTCCGGCCCGGCCGCGCTGAAAGCTACCCAGCGGCGCGCCTTGAACCCACGCCCCGGGGCCATGCCGGTCATGAAGGGGTTGCTGGCCCCGCAAAACACCTTCCTGGACACCATCGCCACCCGTTTTGACGGAACGCGTGAGTGGGACGGAGATCGGGGCTTGGGGTTCAAGCTGGGGGCCAAGTCTCCTCGAGGCCGTCTCGGGTCTCCTGGACGTGGTGAGACCCGAGGCTAGAGGAAAGAATGGAGTTAAGGGTCTAGGAACTCCCAAAGCCGCGATGCAGGAACAGGGCGGGGAGTGCCCTGCGAGGGGAGGAGGGGAAAGGGCCGAGAGCACGGGGTCCAAGGTTAGGGGGTGTGACTAGAGGCAGAAGAGGCTCTTTGTGCGGCAGAGCGGAGGAGGGGCCTTGGGAGCCGCCCACTCTCGGGCAGAGCTGTGCTGGGGGCGTGTATGGGGGTATCCGAGACACAGAAGTGGGACAAAGTGGCCGGGCGTTCTGGGGACTCCAGCTCCCACTACCTCCAGAAAAAAAGGAGAAAAGATCAGACTTCAGCAGGACCTAGTTTGGATTGACGTAGCGCGCCCCCAAATCATGGGGCGTCAGTGTCTAAGGTGGGTGAGGCAGGAGGAGGGGAGCGGTCTGTGCGATGGTAGGAACTCCCGGCTCGCCCTACGCAGCTTGGGTTTCAGGTTCAGCACCTTGGACAGCCGCATCACTCCTTCCCCGCCTCTTCTCCCGCCATTCCCTCTTCCCACTCTGGAGCCCAGAGATTCCCCGTCCTCACCTCCCCCAACCCTGCCATTCCCTCGGGAACCCTGGCCGGGATCTGGAGGGTGAGGGAGCGGTACCCGAGGGCGGAAACTGAGCCGCGGGGCCCTACCCGCTTCCCCCCCCCCTTGTTTCCATAGCGCCCATCACCGGGGCAACAGGCCCTGGGATGGAAGAAGGAGGCAGTGCCCAGAGCCCAGTGCCTCCCAGGCACCTTCAGTGTCCCCATTAGCCTCCCTGCCCCCAGACAGTCATCCCTCCTTGAGTACCAGGACTGGTTGTGTCACAGGCCCCATCTCTTAGCTGAGTCTCTGTCCCTGAATGGCCCACAGGAGACCCCTGGCCTCCCCCGCATTGGAGCTGGAGGAAGACAGCTCGGGTTCTGCTGCTGGAGGGTGCTGGAGCTATATGCTCAATGCCCTTTCCCGTTAGACTTTGAGCACTGGGGCAGATCCCCTGAAAGCAGCTACAAGAATGCTAAAAAGTGGACCTTTCCTGGAAGGCAGGGAAAGAGGACACCACTCATCACTGTCTGCCCCCACACTAAGGAGATCTGTGAGTTTGGATAATCTCTGCCTTTTGGTTTCCTATCAATAAAATGGGTGTGGTGTCATCAGAAACTCTGCCCTGCTTACTCTATAATAGGAAGAAAGCCGAGCGAATGTGGGGGAACAATTTCACCTTCTCAGAGTAGCACTTACTATGTGCTAGGACTTGTTCTCCCCAAGTTAGCTCATGTAACTCTGACAACGACCATGTGAGGAAGGCCTATGATACCCAACTTTGCAAATAAGGAAAGCTCAGGCACAGAAGAGGTCATCAACTTGCCCAAAGTCACACAGTCAGTAAGTGGCAGTGGAGGGTTGCAGGAGCCCAGGCTCTTACTCACCATGCTATGCTGCCTTCTACAGTGACCGCTCACCAGTTGGAAGGCAGGGGGGTGGATGGCATGACCTCCTGGGGTCCTTCTCCAACTCCCCATTAGACCCTGCTTAAGTCCCGTCTTAAGTTCTTGTCTCTTTGCTCTACCTTCTCCTATTCTCAATTCAGAAAATCCCAAAGTGGGGTCGGGAGCAACATGGAGACCTGGGAAGCTTCTGGCTCTGTGACTTCTAACCCCAACTTAAGGGAGGTGCTGTCCACCTGGAAGATAGCTCGCCTCCCAGCCTTGACCTGACCTTGACCTCTTCTTCCCACAGACAGCAACTTCCTGCTAGCCAACGCACAGGGCCCACGGGGCTTTCCCATCGTCTACTGCTCTGACGGCTTCTGCGAGCTCACGGGCTACGGTCGCACTGAAGTCATGCAGAAGACCTGCAGCTGCCGTTTCCTCTATGGCCCAGAGACCAGCGAGCCAGCCCTGCAGCGTCTGCACAAAGCCCTGGAGGGCCACCAGGAGCACCGCACTGAAATCTGCTTCTACCGCAAGGATGGTGAGGGGGCCCACCCCACCCTGCAGCCCTGCCTAGACCTCTAGCCTTATCCAGAGGGCACTGGGCACCGTAGGAGTCTGAGTGCTTGTCCCTACACTGCCACAAGCTGACTGTGACGGCGCATCTCCCTGACCTCTCTGGTCCTGGGTTCCCCTATCTGAAAGATGAAGGAGACGCCTGACAGAATCTCTGAGGTTCCTTTCGGCTCTTGCTTTGCCAAGCTCTTAACTATGTATAGGAGGATGAGGGGGATGAGGAGAAAGGCATGCCACGGGGCTGCCCATGCTCCTCCCTCCCTCTCTCCATGCCTACAGGCTCGGCCTTTTGGTGCCTCCTGGACATGATGCCCATCAAGAATGAGATGGGGGAGGTCGTGCTGTTCCTCTTTTCCTTCAAGGATATCACTCAGAGTGGAAGCCCAGGACTTGGCCCCCAAGGAGGCCGCAAGGACAGTAATCATGGTAACGGCAAGTCTGGATGGGCAGTGTGAATGGTCAGAAGCCCTCGCCCACCCAGCCGCATGGGATGTACCCCAACATATCTCTGCACCTTTCTTCCCAACAGAAAACTCCCTTGGTAGAAGGGGAGCCACCTGGAAATTTCGGTCTGCCAGAAGACGGAGCCGTACTGTCCTACACCGACTGACCGGCCACTTTGGCCGCCGGGGCCAGGGAGGCATGAAGGCCAATAATGTGAGTCCCACCCCCAACCCAACATCTCCCAAGTCCTCCAGCCTTGATTCTGAGGCACCCCTGCCACTGTCTCCCTGCTTCCCTGTTTGTCTGGTGTCCCTCCTTGGCTTGCTCCTCTGCCCACCCATTTCCCATACACTACTCTCTGCTCCATCCTATATCCTCCCCTCACATCCTTCTATCCTTCACTCCCTCACTCCCTTAGGTGATTGACATTACTTTGCTCTGATGATGTCACATTGCTCCAGCAGCAATGACCTCACCTGCCCGGGGATGATAGGGTTATACCATGGGTGGTGAAATCGCAAGCTGCTATAGTTCTAGGGAGAAAGCCCTCATTGCAGGTCTGGCATCTAGACCTGTGTACCACCTCTTAGGATCCTGACCAAGCCAGGGGATTGAGTCCCCAACCCTCTGTTAGGGATACAGGGAATGCGGTGGACTATGCCAGCCTCTGCTCCCTGCTGGGATATGCCCAGCCCCCACTGGGCCCCCAGAATCCAAGAGGAACTTAAGGGAGAAGTTTGTGATCCCTCAAGCTAGGGCATGTGCTGATTTGTCATAGTCTTCTTCTCAAGTAGGATGAGTGTTGGGCCAGGCACAGTGGCTCATGCTTGTAATCCCAGCACTTTGGGAGGCCAGGGCAGGAGGATTGCTTGAGGCCAGGAGTTCTAGACCAGCCTGGACAACATAGTGAGACCCCTTCTCTAAAAAAAAAAAAAAATTAAAAATTATCTGGAGGCCAGGCACAGTAGCTGACGCCTGTAATCCCAGCACTTTGGGAGCCTGAGGCAGTCAGATCACCTGAGGTCAGGAGTTCAAGACCAGCCTGACCAACATGGAGAAACCCCATCTCTACTAAAAATACAAAGTTAGCCGGGTGTGGTGGCACATGCCTGTAATCCCAGCTACTCGGAAGGCTGAGGCAGGAGAATCACTTGGACCCGGGAGCCAGAGGTTGCGGTGAGCCGAGATCACGCCATTGCACTCCAGCCTGGGCAACAAGAGTGAAACTGTCTCAAAAAAAAAAAAAGTATCTGGGTATGGTAGTGCATGCCTGTGGCTCCAGCTACTCTGGAGCCTGAGGCAGGAGGATCGCTTGAGCCCAGGAGTTTAAGGCTGCAGTAAGTTATGGTGGTACCACTGCACTCCAGCCTGGGCACAGAGGGAGACCTTGTCTCTAAACTTAAAAAGTTTAAAATCAAGTTGGGTGAGTGTCAAGCCTTATAAATACCCCTGACAAGCCATGATTGGTTCAAACAGGGGCCTCGGGCCGTGCACAGTGGCTCATGCCTGTAATCCTAGCACTTTGGGAGGCTGAGGTGGGTGGATCACCTGAGATCAGGAGTTTGAGACCAGCCTGGCCAACATGGCGAAAACCCGTCTCTACTAAAAATACAAAAAGTAGTCAGGTGTGGTGGCATGCTCCTGTAGTCCCAGCTATTCAGGAGGCTGTGGCAGGAGAATTGCTTGAACCCGGGAGGCAGAGGTTGCAGTGAGCCGAGATTGCGCCACTGCACTCCAACCTGGGCAAAGAGCAAGACCCCATCTCAGAAAAAAAAAAGAAAGAAAGAAAGGAGGGGGGCCTGGGAAGTACTTGGCAGGAGAAGAGAATGTCAGGTGTCAGCTTCTGTGCCCCTCTCCTGGCCTTCTATCTCCTTTCATTCATGGTCGAAAGTGCCTTTGCAGTGTCCACCTGTCCCTTTCCCCATCCCCTGCCTTTCCCCCTCCATCTTGGCTCCTCTTTCCCTCAAGTGTCCCCAATCGCCACCCCTCTCCCCTTAGAACGTGTTTGAGCCAAAGCCATCAGTGCCCGAGTACAAGGTGGCCTCCGTGGGGGGGTCTCGCTGCCTCCTCCTCCACTACAGCGTCCCCAAGGCCATCTGGGACGGCCTTATCCTCCTTGCTACCTTCTACGTTGCGGTCACCGTCCCCTACAACGTCTGTTTCTCGGGTGACGATGACACCCCCATCACTTCGCGACACACCCTTGTCAGCGACATCGCCGTGGAGATGCTCTTCATCCTGGGTCAGAGCCTCTGCCTCACCCACCCTGGCGGGTTGGCTGGGGGAATCCACTTGGCCAAGCCTCACCCACTCCTGGGGCCCGCATGACCCAGGCATTCAGAGCCCCTCCCTTCCTGCATCTTTAAGTCCCAATGGCCTATGTGTCCTGCTTCCTGCAGCCTTCAGCCTTATGACCTGTCTTCCCTAAGGACCAGCCAGAAGCCCAATCTATCTCTCCATGCCTGCCTCCTCCTCCAGTCTGGGTCTCCAAAGCTTGTTCCCAGCTTTTTTTGGTTTCTTGATCCCTTGGCCAAGGCCCCCCAGTAATAGCCTCTTGCACCCCCAGATATCATCCTGAACTTCCGCACCACCTATGTGTCCCAGTCTGGCCAGGTAATCTCTGCTCCTCGTTCCATTGGCCTCCACTACCTGGCCACCTGGTTCTTCGTCGATCTTATTGCTGCTCTGCCCTTTGATCTGCTTTACGTCTTCAACATCACCGTGGTGAGTGACCTCCATCCCACCATCCAGTCCAACCTCCCAACTTCAGCACAGCATCTTCCAGGAAGGGACTGATCCCAAACCCAGATATGCCCCTTCCCATCAATCCATCTGCAGATATTTATCAGGCACCTGCTCTGGGCATAGCCGTGCGCTAGGTACCGGGAGGATCCCGGAGGGTCTATGATCCTGGGGAGCTCAGCTCACAATCTTTGAGGGAAGCTGAGACAAATGAAAAGCTAACTATGGCTACCAAGGCGGCATTGGTCTGATGCCAAATGAGTGGTACTTTTCACTTTTTTATTTAACAAACAACTGATGAGCATTTAGCTGTCTGCAAAGCACTGTGTGGGGCATGGCCACTGTGGGGAAAGGGAACAAGGATTCAGCCTCTAAACAACTAAACTGGTGAGGGGGCAGGAATACTGCAGAGCACAGCAGGGACAGAAGAGGTGAATGGGGGTGGAAGATGGGGCCCGGGTATGCTACTGAGGGTTTGGGCTGACCTTGGAGTTCCAGGCTGGAACATGAGTGTGTGTTAAAGTGATCTGAAGTCTGGCCAGCACCTGGGAAGCAAAAGCGTACTTGCTGGGCAGAGGCTGGAGGGGTCTGGGAAGGTTTCCTGAGGGAGGCGGGAGTATAGCTAGACCTTAAAGGGTGAGTAGGATTTAGCTGGCAGGAGATGAGGACAGCAAGCATTTGGGGGAGCATAGTAAACCCAGACAAGAAGGTAGAGGCTGTGGGTGAATTCAGAGGCAAAGAATGCCAGGACCTGAGTCCTCACAGATCCCTGGGGACACTCTAGAGGTACCCTGAGTGGTCATCTGTAGCCCCAGCCAGCAGATAGTAGGTCTTCTCAAGTCCAGGGTGGGGCAGTGCTACCCTGTGTCCCCAGGCCCCCTTGGGTGTGGGGCGGGGAAGTGGGGAGCAGTTTCCTTGTGTGCTCTCTCCCTGCACTCAGCTATAGCAGGAAACCACCTACACGCAGCCGAATTTAACTAGCCGCCAACGGGCTGTGGGCCTCCTCTCCTGGCGGTGCACACGTGTGTGCGCGCTCCCACACACGTGCATGTGTGTACGTCTGCCTCGAGGCTCTGACCACTCTGAGAAGATCTCCCCACCCCTCCCCAGGAGTGCGCCCACCCCTCTATGCCCACTAGGCACCATCAGCTGGGGGGTGGGAGACTGCAGAGAGCCCCCTGCCCCTCCTCTCAGGTCCCTTTGGGAGCACGTTACAGTTCACTACATTCTTGCACACACATCATCACATGGGAGCCCCACAGGGACCCTTCAGGGCAGATCCTTATCCTTTTTCAGAGGTAGGTGCAGAGGCTCAGAGAGGTTCAGTGACTTGCTGAAGGTCACATAGCTAGCAGGGGCAGGCAGGAGATTAGAACCAGGTCTCTCCACCCTGGGCAACAGGTGAAACCCTGTCTCTACTAAAACACAAAAAATTAGCCGGATGTGGTGGCGTGTACCTGTAGTCCCAGCCACTCGGGAGGCTGAGGCATAAGAATCACTTGAGTCCCAGAGGCAGAGGTTGCAGTGAGCCCAGATAGCTCTACTGCACTCTAGCTTGGCCGGACACAGTGGATCACGCCTGTAATCCCAGCACTTTGGGAGGCCGAGGCGGGCGGATTACGAGGTCAGGAGATTGAGACCATCCTGGCTAACACGGTGAAGCCCCGTCTCCACTAAAAATACAAAAAGTTAGCCGGGCGTGGTGGTGGGTGCCTGTAGTCCCGGCCACTCAGGAGGCTGAGGCAGGAGAATGGCGTGAACCCAGGAGGCGGAACTTGCAGTGAGCCGAGATCGCGCCGCTGGACTCTAGCCTGGGCGACAGAGACTCCGTCTCAAAAAAAAAAAAAAAAAGAAAGAAAGAAAGAATCAGTTCTCTAAACTTCCAGTCTAGTATTTTTTCCAACATACCACCTTGCTTCCCAGGTAACCAGGGCCCCTGAGTGGATGGTCTGATGAGATGAGGAATACCACTGGGGGCCAGAGAGAGGTAGGACAGAGACAGAAGATGAGCAGGCACTGGCAGAGCTGCAGACTTGAAGGAGCCAGGCCTGGATATTCTAGTCCAAGGAGAATGAGAGGAGTATCCCCAAGAGAGTGGGGCCCAAGGGCAGTTGACTGAGGGAAGCCCTGAAGAACTCAAGCTTGCAGTCAAGTGCTCTGGGAGCTGGGGGTAGGCATTAAAACCTGGCGAGGGTCCATGTGGAGGAATCAGAGCCACCTCCTTTCCAGTTCCTTCACCTAAAATTAGAGAAAAATTGCACGAGATGGTACAGAAGCAGTGTAGGACCAGGGCTATGGGAATTGTTCCTGGAGGCCCAGGAAGGGGCAGTGAGGGGCTTTCATTCCAGGTTCCCCAGGCACTGCCCCAGAGCTTCCAGTCCTAGCTGCCATGCTGCTCCCACCCAGAAGATAAGCCCTCCCCATCTCCAAGATTGAAGGGCTGATCAATATTGATAACCACAATGCAGATGGTACTTGGGGTAATATTAGTGAATATGGGACACTTACTAGGTACCATTATGTCCGTCAACCCCTAGCACAGCCCAGGCTCCCTCAGTCCCTGCTCTCCTGCCCCCTCAACTCTTCTGCTTGACTCTTCATCTGCAGCTGATCCGCAAGAGGAAGTGTCCATAAACCTCCCCCAGCCCTCAAGTCCTTGCCTGTCCCCACTCCACTATGCTTCTCCATGTCTTGAAGGGTGGTCCCCATCACAATTGCTGCCGTCGCTACTGGGGCTCTGCAGAGACCATTGCCTATTCCCTGACTCTGACCAGGGCTGGCTCCCCTACCATCTCCCAGTGCTTAGTGGCCCTAGAGCACAAGGTGGACTGTGGTGTCAATTAGCCCAGATGCCCACCCTGAGTGCCAGCTCTATCATGTCTTTGGTCTGTGACCTTGAACAAGTCATTAGCCTCTCTGAGCCTTAGTTCATTCATCTGCAAATTGGGAATGATGATGATAATTGAACTAAAGGTATAATTGTGTGTGTGTGTGTGTGTGTGTGTGTATTGTTAAATAAGGATTACAAATGCTTAGCACAGTGCCTGGCTAAGCACATAGAATGTACTTACTAAGGCCAGGCACAGTGGCTCACCCTTGTAATCCCAGCACTTTGGGAGGCCAAGGAGGGTGGATCACGGGGTCAGGAGATCGAGACCATCCTGGCCAACGTAGTGAAACCCCATCTCTACTAAAAATACAAAAATTAGCTGGGGAGGGAGGCTGAGGCAGCCTTGAATTGCTTGAACCCGGGAGACAGAGGTTGCAGTGAGCTGAAATGGCGCCACTGCACTCCAGCCTGGCTACAGAGTGAGACTCTGTCTCAAAAAAAAAAAAAAGAGAGAGAGAAAGAAAGAAAAAGAAAAGAAAAAAAAAGGAAAATAATTACTAAGCGTTAGCCACTGTTTGTTTTATTGTTATTATTCCCTTCCTGCTGCATTCCCTGGCCACTTTCTCAGGACGGCACCGATGTCTTTCCTGTTGCAGCCTCCGCTGGCTCCAGGGTGTCTGGTGGGAAGGCCCTGGGAGGGGACTGAGGGCTCGGAGGAGGTATGCCTGCTGACAGCCTCCCCCGCCACCCTCCCGCAGACCTCGCTGGTGCACCTGCTGAAGACAGTGCGGCTGCTGCGGCTGCTGCGGCTGCTGCAGAAGCTGGAGCGGTACTCTCAGTGCAGTGCTGTGGTGCTCACGCTGCTCATGTCGGTCTTTGCGCTCCTTGCCCACTGGATGGCCTGCATCTGGTACGTCATCGGGCGCCGGGAGATGGAGGCCAATGACCCGCTGCTCTGGGACATTGGTGAGCCACCGACCCCAGACTTTCACAGACCACCTGTCCACCTGTCCCATCCCCAAGCTGATGCCTCCACCAGTACCCACACCCCTCACCCCACATTCCTCTATCCATCCAACAAACATGCGTTGAGCTATTTCTGGATCAAGCATGGGGATATTGATTTGCAGACAAGGGCTCCGTTTTGGGGGGCTGGTGGGGGGAACTCACAGCTTAGCAGGGAAGCAAGACCAGTGATCATGATCAAAGTACAATGCAGGAAACACTGATGGTGGAGGGGTGTGTTTCAGGCAGAAGGAGCAGCACGTGAAAAGTCCCTGAAAGAGCCTGGCATCTTTGCCCCCATTAATCCCTCCTTCTCCAGGCTTCATAGCCATGGGCCAGGAGACAGCCCCAGGCCCTTGCAATCCCTCTGAAAGGCCTGTCAGATCCTGGGCATGGTCCCTGACACCTCCCGCTCCTTCACTCCACACCTAGCCCACCACATCAATACCACCTCTCAAATGTCCCTTGAATCTGACCTTTTCTCTCCATCCTGTCTTCCCCTTCCAAGTCCACTCCACCTCCCTTTCTCACCCAGTCCTGTGCAATAGCCTCCCTGCTGATCTCCCAACCCCCTTCTCGTCCCTCCCACAACCACTCTTCTCACCCCAGCCAAATGGGTTCTAGGATTCAACGTTGACCTGCCACACTCCTGCTGGGATTCCTTCAGTGGCTTCCCACTGCCCTCCAAATGAAGTCCACACTCAGTGCACACCCTGGGCAGCCCTGTGCCCCCTCTCTCCCACCTGCCTTCCCGTTCTCCCATGCTCCCTGCGTCGCAGTCACACCAGCCTCTCCCCTGGACCCAGGACGTACTGCTTTCTCACGCTGGGCCTGGAACCTGTTGTTTTCCTCTCTGGCATCCTCCCTCTTTTGTCTTCCCTCTCCACCTAGATGGATTTTCTGTTCCCTGCCTCACTTGGAACCAATGTTCCTTTGGTTCCATGTGTCTCAATCAAAATGCCCCGTCCTAAGGAGCATGCCTTCCAGGCACCATGTCCAGAACCCCCCAACTGCCAGTGGGTTGGCTTTCCCTAACCTATTGGGATTCCTAACACACCCTATACAATACTTTCCTTCCAGGAGCTCACCCCCTACCTGTAATGATTTATGTCATGTCTCTTTTCCCTCCAGGCTATAGGTTCCACCAGGGCAGGGAGAGTGTTTGGCTGGGTCAATTCCCCAACACTTTGTATACAGCAGGTGCACAATAAACTATTAGTAAGTTTCAGGAGCCTTTGAACAGTCAGCAGTATAGTGAGTTGGCGGCCTTGGACTGCAACTGTAACCAGTGCACCATGGGGAGGCACAGGCCCAGACCGTTCCCCACAGTTCCTGTGCCAACCTGTGTATAAATACTTGCCGAAGGTCAAGCACAGGTGGCTCAGGGAACCCTGGTTCTCCACCGCTGGCACAGCCAGGGCTCCCTGCATCCGTCCACCCTGCAGGCTGGTTGCACGAGCTGGGCAAGCGTCTGGAGGTGCCCTACGTCAATGGCTCAGTGGGCGGCCCATCGCGGCGCAGCGCCTACATTGCGGCACTGTACTTCACTCTAAGCAGCCTTACCAGCGTAGGCTTTGGCAACGTGTGTGCCAACACCGACGCCGAGAAGATCTTCTCCATCTGCACGATGCTCATAGGCGGTGAGGCCAGACCTGCCACGCCTCAGTGGGGCCCTGCGAAGCCCAGCGTGCACGGGGAAACTGAGGCCCAGAGAGGGCAAGGCATCTGCTCGAGGTGTCTACCCAAGTCCAGACAGTCACGCATTCATTCATGGACGTTTCCTGAGTGCCCACTATGTGCTGGCCCTGGGGATGCCACAACCAGGCGTGGCCTCTTGCAAAAGGGATGGGAAACCCAGGTTCATGACCTAATGATGGGGAGGCCTGAGAGGAGCATGGGGTGTTACCCATCTCTGGACCACTCCCTATTCCCCATCCCTAGTCTAGTGCCTGGCACCTAGTAGGCACACAGGAGCCCACTGGCTCTTGGCCAGGACAGGGTGGGTTTGGAAGCTGGGGAGGTGGCCAGAGGGTGGCCGGTCCTGACCAGCCCGCTGTTGCTGCTCCAGCCCTGATGCACGCTGTGGTGTTCGGGAACGTGACAGCCATCATCCAGCGCATGTACTCGCGCCGCTCGCTCTACCACAGCCGCATGAAGGACCTCAAGGACTTCATCAGTGTGCACCGCCTGCCGCGGCCGCTCAAGCAGCGCATGCTCGAATACTTCCAGACCACGTGGGCCGTCAACAGCGGCATCGACGCCAACGAGGTAGTGCGCAGGGTCTCCCGTCTTGCCCTCACCCTCCGCATGGCCCTGCAGTGGCGTGGGGAAGGGGTCGCTGCCCCTCTGGCTTAAAATGGAGGCAGGCCGAGTGTGGCGGCTCACACCTGTAATCCCAGCATTTTGGGAGGCTGAGGCGGGTGGGTCACTTGAGGTCAGGAGTTGAAGACCAGCCTGGGCAACAGGGTGAAACCCTGTCTGCTAAAAATATGAAAATTAATCAGCTGTGGTGGTGCACACCTGTAATCCCAGCTACTCGGGAGGGTGAGGCACGAGAATCACTTGAACCAGGGAGGCAGAGGCTGCAGTGAGCCAAGATCATGCCAGTGCACTCCAGCCTGGGTGACAGAGCTAGACTCTGTCTCAAAAAAAAAAAATAAAATAAAATGGAGGCGCCGGGCACGGTGGCTCACGCCTGTAATCCCAGCACTTTGGGAGGCCGAGGCGGGCGGATCACAAGGTCAGGAAATCGAGGCCATCCTGGCTAACACGGTGAAACCGTCTCTACTAAAAATACAAAAAATTAGCCGGGCATGGCGGCATGTACCTGTAGTCCCAGCTACTCAGGAGGCTGAGGCAGAAGAATGGCGTGACCCCGGGAGGCGGAGCTTGCAGTAAACCGAGATTGCACCACTGCACTCCAGTTTGGGCGACAGAGTGAGACTCTGTCTAAAAATATATATATATAAATAAAAAATAGCCAGGCGCGGTGGCTCATGCCCGTAATCCCAGCACTTTGGGAGGCCGAGGTGGGTGGATCACGAGGTCAAGAGATCGAGACCATCCTGGCTAACACGGTGAAACCGCGTCTCTACTAAAAATGCAAAAAATCAGCCGGGCATGGTGGCGGGGAGCCTGTAGTCCCGGCTACTCGGGAGGCTGAGCCAGGAGAATGACGTGAACCCGGGAGGCGGAGCTTGCAGTGAGCCAAGATCCGGCCTGGGCGATAGAGCGAGACTCCGTCTCAAAAATAATAATAATAATAATAATAATAATAAATAAAAGTAAAAATAAAAAATAAATAAATAAAATAAAATGGAGGCAAACAGGGCCCCGGGAGTGAGGTATTGTTCACAAGGGCACACACTCACCCAAAATACAAATTCTTGTTTCTTTTTTTTTTTTCTTTTTTCGAGAAGGAGTCTTGCTCTGTTGCCCAGGCTGGAGTGCAGTGGCGTGATCTCGGCTCACTGCAACCTCTGCCTCCCAGGTTCAAGGAATTCTCCTTCCTCAGCTTCCTGAGAATCTGGGACTACAGGCGCATGCCACCACACTCGGCTGATTTTTGTATTTTTAGTAGATATGGGGTTTCACCATGTTGGTCAGGCTTGTCTTGAGCCCTTGACGTCTTGATACGCCTGCTTCAGCCTCCCAATTTGCTGGGATTACAGGCGTGCACCACCACAGCCGGCCAAATTCTTGTTTCTTTGCACTTGAATATGGGAGTGAAAGAGCTCAGGGCCCAGCTGATGCCACTCTCCCTTCTGCCAACATTTCCTGAGTGCCTGCTTTGGGCCAGCCTTGGTGCTGGGCACAGGGAGCTTAGAGATGATGACACTCAGCCCTGGCCCTCAGGGAGACCCAGAATGGTGAGGGAGGCAGACAGATGAACAGAGTGCGGCGGTGAATGGGGCTGTAAAGGAGGGATGTTGGTGACGTTGGGTCCTCGTCGTGCCTGGGCGGGGAGGAGTCAAGGAAGGTGGCACAGAAGAAGGGACATCACAGAGAACAAGAAGGAAATCAGCCTGCTATAGGAAGGCCATCCCTGGTAGAAAGGGTCATAGGGACACAGGTCCAGAAGTGATGGCACAAAAGAGCAGAGTGGGTGCTTTAGGAAACTGAAAGCGGCTCCGTAAGCCTGCAGGAACAGGCATGTGAGTGCTGCAGAGGGAGAAGGCAGGGCAGGAGGGCACGACATGGGCTGGGAGGCAGCAGGCCCAGCTCAGGGATGGCCTGGAATTTAGATTTTATCCTGCATAATGTTTACACTGGGGAGTGGTGTGGGGATCTCAGAGGGAATGGATTGGTGAGGTATCTCTGAGAATGGGATCTGTGGGATGTAGTGATCTCCTGCTGGTTGCAGAAGAGCTCAGAGTGACTCCCAGGTTTCTGGCTTAGGCCAAGGGTGGGGATGGAGGCATAACAGGAGGAAGATGGGCTTTGGGATGAAGGTGAGAGTCCCGGGTCAGACCAGGAGGAGGGTATGGTGCCTGGGGGAGGTCCAGAGGGAGGTTGCCCAGTAGGTGGATGGGAATCAGCTCTTGGCTGGGTGCAGTGCTCATGCCTGTAATCCCAGCACTTTGGAAGGCTGAGGTAGGCAGATCATCTGAGGCTGGGAGTTTGAGACCAGCCTGGCCAACACTGTGAAACCCTGTCTCTACTAAAAATACAAAATTAGCTGGACGTGGTGGTGCACACTTGTAATCCCACCTACTCAGAAGACTGAGGCAGGAGAATCACTTGAATCTGGGAGGCCGAGGTTGCAGTGAGCTGAGATCATGCCATTGCACTCCAGCCTGGGTAACAGAGCGAGACTCTGCCTCAAAAAAAAAAGAAAAGGCCGGGCGCGGTGGCTCACGCCTGTAATCCCAGCACTTTGGGAGGCCGAGATGGGCAGATCATGAGGTCAGGAGATCAAGACCATCCTGGCTAACACGGTGAAACCCCGTCTCTACTAAAAAAAAATACAAAAAAACTAGCCGGGCGAGGTGGCGGGCGCCTGTAGTCCCAGCTACTCCGGAGGCTGAGGCAGGAGAATGGCATAAACCCGGGAGGCGGAGCTTGCAGTGAGCCGAGATCCGGCCACTGCACTCCAGCCTGGGTGACAAAGCAAGACTCCGTCTCAAAAAAAAAAAAAAAAAAGAAAGAAAGAAAAAAAAAAGAAATCAGGTCTGGACTCAGAGTTAGGGCTCAGGACAATCAGGTAGTGGGGAAGCCATGGGGCCAGTTGCCATGATGCAGGAAGAGTGTGGAAAGTGAGAGTCTGGGGTGTTGGCTGAGGAAGAGGAGCCTGGGAGGAAATGAGGAAGTGAGCAGTGGGAGAGGTGGGAGGAACTGGAAGGAAGCCCCTCACGGGAGCCCAGTGGGGCTGAGGGGAGAGTTCAACAAGCCAGGGTGGCCAAGGGGCTCCATATGAGGATGTGAACGTGGAATGTGGCCCTAAGAGGTCATTGGTAGTGCCCAAGGTCTAATAACAACTCTGCATTTTACAGACTGAGATACAAACTGGGATCTTGAGGCCCAATGAGCGGAAATGGGTTGCCCAAGGTCCACAGGGACTTAGGAGCCAAGCTGACTCCTGGTCTCCTGACTCCCAGTTGAAGGCTGACCCCCAAGAGACAGCTCCTGAATGATGGGGTTAAGTGACCAGCATGTAGCCATAGCGGGGAACTGATGGGAGAAGAGCTGGTCTCTGCCCCTGAAATTGGGTTTTGAGGTTCACGCAGCAAGCAAAATTGACGTTAGACACAGAGGTTATACGGAAGGTCTAGAATGGGTGACTTCAAAGCAAGGGCAAGAGGAATTCTCTCTTTGAAGACAGCTCAGCACATTTGTAGACTCAAGTAGTAGCTGCAGGGGGATGGCCAGAATGACCTATGCCCCTTATGCAGTTACTGCGTGACTTCCCAGACGAGCTGAGAGCTGACATTGCTATGCACCTGAATCGGGAGATCTTGCAGCTGCCGCTGTTCGGGGCAGCCAGCAGGGGCTGCCTGCGGGCCCTATCGCTGCACATCAAGACCTCGTTCTGCGCTCCGGGCGAGTACCTGTTGCGCCGTGGGGATGCCCTGCAGGCACACTACTATGTCTGCTCCGGCTCACTTGAGGTGCTCCGAGACAACATGGTGCTGGCCATCCTGGGTAAGGACCCCGTCACCCCTGATTACCTACCCTGGAACCACCCCCCACTCCCCGCTGCCGAGGACTTGGGAATGGCCAGGATTCTAGGGAATGGGATACTCCTTGTGGATACCTACAGTTCCTGCTGAGGAATACTCTCTCGGTCCCTTCACCCTATGGCCATCCCCTTTTGACAATTCCCCTCTGATTATTCCCTAATCCCCTTAGGCATCCCTCAACCCATCAACCCCTCCCAGTGACTGTCCCCCAGCTCAACTGATCCTTTCCCACTGTTCCACTTCCCAACCCCATTGACCCTAAACTCCAGTCACTTTTACCCTCTAACTGACCTGATCCCTCCGGCCATTGTGATTTTTATCACCCAATTACATCGATCATTCCTGTGGCCCTACTCACTCCCACTGACTGTCTCCCAACCTCACCAGTCATTCTCCACTGACCTTTTCCCAATTCCATTGGTTATTTCCACCAGTTCCATTGACTGGCCCACCATCAACTGTCCTTCAAACACACTGACCACCCCTCAAATCCACTGAGCACCTCCAGCTGATATCCTTTTGTTCCCACTGCCCCAGCTGACTGTCCCCATCCCTTACCTACAGGGAAGGGGGACCTGATTGGAGCAGATATCCCTGAGCCGGGGCAGGAGGCTGGGTTGGGAGCAGACCCAAGCTTCGTGCTGAAGACCAGTGCTGATGTGAAAGCTCTGACCTACTGTGGCCTGCAGCAGCTGAGCAGCCAAGGGCTGGCTGAGGTCCTGAGGCTCTATCCTGAGTATGGGGCTGCCTTCCGGGCTGGCCTGCCCCGGGACCTCACCTTCAACCTGCGCCAGGGCTCTGACACCAGTGTATGTACACCCCTGATGGCCGCCATCCTTCCAGAGTCCTTTCCTCCAAAGCAGACCTCCCCAGCCTGAGAGTCCCATGAGCCTCCCTCTACCCTAAAAACATCATGCCTGAAGCCCAGGCACCCTACTCCATTGCCCCTTACCTGCTTCATACCTTCCAACCCTGCTGACACTACACTGGCCATCACCCAGGCCCCTGGCCGTCTCTCATCACCTTCTACTCCCAACTGTACTGCCCCATCTCCACTGACCACCCCTCAGCCTCACTCCAGACTCCTGACTCCTTCAAAGGACCCTCCCTTTGTTTCTTTGTGTGTGTGTGTGTGTGTGTGTGTGTGTGTGAGACAGTCTCGCTCTGTCACCCAGCCTGGAGTGCAGTGGCGTGATCTTGGCTCACTGCAACCTCCGCCTCCTGGGTTCAAGTGATTCTCCTGCCTCAGTCTCCCAAGGAGCTGGGATTACAGGTGTGCACACCATGCCTGACTAATTTTTGTATTTTTAGTAGAGACAGGGTTTCGCCATGTTGGCCAGGCTGGTCTCAAACTCCTGACCTCAGGTGATCTGCCCACCTCACCCTCCCAAAATGCTGGGATTACAGGCGTAAGCCACCATGCCCAGCCACGACCCTGCCTTGAGAAACAACCACCTCATGTGCTCCTCTTTCAAGCCCCTCTCTGGACAGGGCATCATCGCCTGGGACTTCCCCTTCTTCTCTCACCAAATGTCTCCTGAGTCCACTGTGTTTTAGGCTCTGGGCCAGGCCTGTACATTACACTTTGGGCCTTGGTCTTTTGCTGCTTTTCAGTCTCACTTTGCTATGCAGTGTTTGTTTGAGTTAGAGTTGTAGTTTCTGACTCTGCTCCACAAAAGACCCCACATTCTCAACCCCATAACACTGTTGGGTGGGACAGGGAGGGGCTGCGCTCTGGCCGTGGGGAGGCGGGAGTCGGCTTGAACTCTCCTATGTCCCCACAGGGCCTCAGCCGCTTTTCCCGATCCCCTCGCCTCTCCCAGGTAACACCCACTTCCTGGGTGGGGTTGAATTGCCCTGGGGAGAGGGTGAGATGGGGAGCAGCGTCCTCCTTTCCATGGATGGGGAGCTGCATCCGCCGGTGAAGGCTCTTACTTAATGAAGGGGTCTGTGGTCACTGTCGTGCGACATCAGCTGCCCCCTCTGCCCACAGCCCCGCTCAGAAAGCCTCGGCTCCTCCTCAGACAAGACGCTGCCATCCATCACAGAGGCCGAGAGTGGCACGGAGCCTGGGGGTGGTCCCAGGCCCCGACGGCCCCTCCTGCTGCCCAACCTCAGTCCAGCACGGCCTCGGGGCTCCCTGGTCAGCCTTTTGGGCGAGGAGCTGCCCCCATTCTCAGCCCTTGTCTCCTCTCCTTCCTTATCCCCGTCCCTGTCCCCTGCCCTGGCTGGCCAGGGCCACAGCGCCTCCCCTCACAGCCCCCCCAGGTGCTCTGCTGCCTGGAAGCCCCCTCAGCTTCTCATTCCCCCACTGGGAACCTTTGGACCTCCGGACCTCAGTCCCCGGTGAGATGCTAGCCTCCTCTCCCTTCCCCAAACCCCTACTGGCTTCCAGAACCTTCTCTGGGCTCTATCCAAACAGTGCTTCATCCTGTCTCTGCCCGTGTGCCCACCGCACCCTTCCAACCACAGCCTGCAACCCCAACCCACTTTGACCGCCGCTCTTGCTCCGCCCCCTGGCACTGCTGCCCCCAGTTCCCCTCTGTCTGCTCTGCTCTGGCCCTTACCCTCACCCCATGGTGCTGATGAGCGCTACCCTGTCCCCAGGATAGTGGATGGCATTGAGGACTCTGGCAGCACAGCTGAGGCCCCTTCATTCCGGTTCAGCAGGAGGCCTGAGCCACCAAGGCCCCGCTCCCAGGTGCCCCCTACAGGTAAGGGCCAACAGTGGACTTCAACCCCATCATCCATCTGCCCATCCACCTGTCCATCCATCCCATATGTAGTAGGGGCCTACCACGTACCAGGTGCCATACTGGGAATACAGAGATAAAACAGACCTGGCCCATGCTCTTGGAGTGAGTCTAGCAGGGAGACACCTCTGTACACAGATAAACAATTCCAGATGCTAAATACCATGACAGACAAGAACTGGACTCTGGTAGAAGAGGAAGGTGCCCACTGGACTTCCTTCTAGAGGAGGGGATGCTTGGGTTGCTGCTTAAAGGGTGGGATCTTGAAGGATGGAGCAAAACGGTTATTGAGCTGGGCATGGTGGCTCATGCCTGTAATCCTAGCACTTTGGGAGGCTGATGAGGGTGGATCACCTGAGGTCAGGAGTTCGAGACCAGCCTGGCCAATATGGCGAAACCCCATCTCTACTGAAAATACAAAAATTAGTCAGGTGTGGTGGTGCACACCTGTAATCCCAGTTTCTCGGAAGGCTGAGGCAGGAGAATCACTTGAACCTGGGAGACAGAGGTTGCAGTGAGCTGACAGCACACCACTGCACTCCACCCTGGGCAACAGAGTGAGACTCCATCTCAGACAAAAAAAAAAAACAAAAAACAGCTTTTGAAAGGCATGAAAACCAGAGGATGTTGTGTTTAGACACCACAGAGAAGCTCCGTACCAAGACAGGGCGAGGCGCGGGATGAGACTGGAGAGTTACACAGGGGCCTCAAAACCAGGCTAAGGAGTTTAGGTTTCCCATCTCACAGACCCTAGAGCTTTTTCTCCCCCTGCTCTTCGCCTGCCCAATGACAGGAGGGTTCCAGCCCAAGTTATAGGCTCAGGTATTAATGCTCCATGAACTCACCTGCATCCCTTCACCCTGCAGGGACCAGGCCCAGCCCAGAATTGGCCAGTGAGGCTGAGGAGGTGAAGGAGAAGGTTTGCCGGCTGAACCAGGAGGTGGGTTGGGGTTGGCTCTGAGATGCGCCTGATATAACAGCATTTCAGGCCCGACGCAGTGGCTCACTTGAGGTCAGGAGTTTGGGACCAGCCTGGCCAACATGATGAAACCCTGTCTCTACTAAAAATACAAAAATTAGCCAGATGCCTGTAGTCCCAGCTACTTGGGAGGCTGAGGCAGGAGAATCGCTTGAACCTGGGAAGCGGAGGTTGCAGTGAACCAAAATCGCGCCATTGCACTCCAGCCTGGGCGACAGGGCAAGACTCTGTCTCAGAAAAAAAAAAAAAATTCATGCTAGCTAGATGACCTTGGGCAAGTCCCACAGCTGCTCTGAACTTAAACTTCCTCATCGAAAATGGGGAAATAGTAATATGTGCTTCCCAGAGTTTTAAGGATGCAATGAGAGTGTAAATGTGCCTGGTCCAGTCCCTGGCATGTCGTAGGCACTCGGTACCAGTTGGTTCCCTTCCTCCCCGACTGGCTCAGGTTTCCCAGCCTGATAAGAGGATCTCTTCTCCCTCCACCACTGTGGGACTCTCTCTTGCCCAGGCCCCACCTCTTTCCCTTACCCCAGCAGTGGGGAATGAGTGTAAGCAGATGCAGGGGCAGGGGACAGGGAGGCTGAGAGGCCTTCAGGCCTGGGGGACCTGGATCTAGACGTCTGAATCCTGTCCAGGAAGAACCTAGATCCTATATGCTGAGGCGCAGCCTCTGCCTCCTCCCCAAGGGATCTCAGAGTTGTCACCATAGAGCAACCAGGCCCAGCCCCTGGGAACTGGCTTTCCCTGTGTTCTGATAAACATGGGGCATCCCAGAGGGGCGGCGCCTGGGCTGGTTCAGGCCCTGGGGCCTGGGCGGGGCTGGTGCTTGTTCAGCAAGCTTGAGGGCAAGTCCACTCAAGGCCTCGGGCATCCTTCAGTTCTAGGCCAGTGGTTCCCAAACAAGTATCTATCAGAACTACCTGATAGGCCGGGTGGGGTGGCTCACGCCTGTAATCCCAGCACTTTGGGAGGTTGAGGTGATTGGATCACGAGGTCAGGAGATCGAGACCATCCTGGCTAACACGGTGAAACCCCGTTTCTACTAAAAATACAAAAAATTAGCCGGGCGAGGTGGCACATGCCTATAGTCCCAGCGACTCAGGAGGCTGAGGCAGGAGAATCGCTTGAACCTGGGAGGCGGAGGTTGCAGTGAGCCGAGATCGTGCCACTGCACTCCAGCCTGGGCAACAGAGTGAACCTCCATCTCAAAAAAAAAGAAAAGAAAAGAAAAAAAAAGAACTACCTGACAACCTATTGAGTGCAGATTTCTGGGCCTCTTAGGATTGGGAATGTCTGGGGTGGGGCCCAGAAATGTGCATTTTAAAAAGTTGATTCTATACTCACTGAAGTTTGAAAAGCACAGATAGAGACCCTTGAGCCTGCGATAGGATCAGCTGAGAATAAGGTTGTCACTTCACAGATGTGTGGCCTCTTTGAGCACATTTTTCCACATCTTGGGAAAGCTCGCGCATGTGTGTGTGTAGGGGAAGAATACAATATCTGCTGCCCCAAATCCTTTCTGGAAAGAGACTGGGGCATTTTCCATCTGGGCAAAAATAACCCTCATCCTGCCTTTCTCCCAGGGTGGCCATGAGCAGAAAGTGACTGTGAAGGAGCTTTGTAAACTGGAGAGGGGGGTGCACCTGGTTATTACCGTGGCGCCTGTGAAACAACTCGATGTGTTTTCAACAGATCTCTCGTCTCAATCAGGAGGTGTCTCAGCTTAGCCGGGAGCTGCGGCACATCATGGCCCTGCTGCAGGCCAGGCTGGGTCCACCAGGCCACCCAGCAGGCTCCGCTTGGACCCCAGACCCTCCTTGTCCACAGCTGAGGCCACCAGGCCTCTCTCCTTGTGCGTCCAGACCATCACCCAGCCTCCAGGATACTACGCTTGCTGAAGTTCACTGCCCAGCCAGTGTGGGGACCATGGAGACGGGGACTGCGCCCCTGGACTTGAGACCTTCCATATTGCCCCCCTACCCCTCAGAGCCTGACCCTCTGGGACCCTCTCCAGTGCCAGAGGCCTCACCCCCAACCCCAAGCCTCATGAGGCACAGTTTCCAGTCCAGGTCAGACACGTTCCACTGACCCTGGCCCAGGGCCCAGGCCTGTCTGGGGTGGGCATTGCCACTCACCACTCAGGGAGGACCTGGGCCCCTTGGCTTCCTGCCTTGGGGTCAGCAGCCACCAGCTGGCCTGGTTGGCTCTGGATTTCTGGACTTTTTAACCAAGCGTGGTTACCTCCGATGCTATTCCCTTTTCCAAGCCTTCCCCAACTTCCCCCTCTGTGAGGGGAGCCACCTGAGGGCTGTGGAACCCAGCAGGCATGAGATGAACCGCAGTGCCCATTGGGCTGGGCAGATGAGATCCTACTTTCTCCCCAGGACCTGGAGGCAGGTAGAGATGGGGGAGCAGAGGGGATGGGCAAGGGACCCAGCTCCAGCCTAGGACATGAAGGCAAGACCAGGCAGGATCTTAGCGTCTATAGCAAGAGACAGGTTGCAGGATTTTGCCTGAAGATAGCTTAGTGATATTGTGAGGTCTTCTGTCTCAGCCCCTGGGTCTCTGCTGAAGACCTTAAGAGCAATGTTACCTAGAGAGGGGTAGGTTTGAGATGCTGCTTGGAATTTGAGCAACCCACGATTTCTTAGGCCGCCCACCATGAGCCCAGGCTGGAGAGGCTCACCTCATCCCACAGCCCACACAGGAAACAAACGGATAGCTCCAGATATGTGCTCTTTGGCTCTCACAGCATTATTTTCAAAATATGAGCTAGTTCCAATATTAAAAATGAGATAGGGCCGGGTGCGGTGGCTCACGCCTATAATCCTAGCACTTTGGGTGGCTGAGGTGGGCGGATCACCTGAGGTCGGGAGTTCAAGACCAGCCTGACCAACATGCAGAAACCCCATCTCTACTAAAAATACAAAATTAGCTGGGCGTGGTAGTGCACGCCTGTAATCCCAGCTACTCGGGAGGCTGAGGCAGGAGAATCACTTGAACCCAGGAGGCGGAGGTTGCAGTGAGCCAAGATTGTACCACTGCACTCCAGCCTGGGCGACACAGCGAGACTCTGTCTCAAAAAAAAAAAGAAAGAGGTTATACAGGACTACAGATATTCCAGTTTCTCTTAAAAAAAGTAGCACTGGGCACAGTGGCTCATGCCTGTAATCCCTGTCCTTTGGGAGGCCGAGGTGGGAGGATCGCCTGAGCCCATGAGTTTGAGATCTGCCTTAGCAACATAATGAGACCCGATCTCTATAAAGAGATATATATATATATATGTTTGGTTTTTTTTTTCAGACGGAGTCTCGCTCTGTCGCCCAGGCTGGAGTGCAGTGGCACAATCTCAGCTTACTTCAAGCTCCGCCTCCCGGGTTCATGCCATTCTCCTTCCTCAGCCTCCCAAGTAGCTGGGACTACAGGCGCCCGCCACCACACCCGGCTAATTTTTTGTATTTTTAGTAGAGACGGGGTTTCACTGTGTTAACCAGGATGGTCTCGACCTCCTGACCTCATGATCCGCCCACCTCAGCCTCCCAAAGTGCTGGGATTACAAGTGTGAGCCACCATGCCCAGCCTAAAAAAGTATTTTTAAAATTAGCCAGGTGTAGGCTCAGCGTGGTGGCTCATGCCTGTAATCCCCGCACTTTTGGGAGGCCAAGGCGGGCAGATCACCTGAGGTCGGGAGTTTGAGACCAGCCTGGCCAACATGCAGAAACCCCGTCTCTACTAAAAATACAAAAATTAGCTGGGCATGGTGGTGCATGTCTGTAATCCCAGCTACTCGGGAGGCTGAGACAGGAGAATCCCTTGAACCCAGGAGGCGGAGGTTGCAGTGAGCCGAGATCGTGCCATTGCACTCAAGTCTGGGCAACAAGAGTGAAACTCCGCCTCAAAAATAAATAAATAAATAAATAAAAGCCAGGTGTAGTGGTGAGTGCCTGTGGTTCCAGCTACTCCAGAAGCTGAGGTGGGGGGATGACTTGAACCCACGAGTTCAAGACCAGCGTGGGGAACATAGCAAGACACCCCCCCCCGCCCATCTCTATAAAAATAAAAAGATTAGCCAGGTGTAGTGGTGTGTGCCTATGATCCCAGCTACTCTGGAGGCTGAGGTGGGAGGATCACCTGAGCCCAGGAGGTTGAAGCTGCAGTGAGCAGTGATCACACCACTGCACTCCAGCCTGGGTGACAGAGTGAGACCCTGTCTCAAACAAACAAACAAAAAAACCTCAGGACATCTGGCTACCATGGGCCAACATTCCATCTGGCAATAATTGGCAATCAGCTGGGGCTGGGTGGCCACTGTCCTCTTTACATGGGATCTGCTCTGCACTCTGCTTCGCTGTCACACGTTTCTTGATCATCTCCCGACACCCGGCTAGCTTCCCTTGTTTGAAATTTTTGTCTGGTCTCTGTGGGTATTTGAGTTCCCAAAACTTGAGTGTCCATCAGAACTACCTGAGATCCTATTAAAATGCAGATTCTGCCAGGCGCGGAGGCTCAAAAAAATAAAAAAATAAAAAGCAGATTGCTGGGCCTCACCCAATTTGGAATGTCAGGGGTGGAGCCCAAGGGTTGAGTGTGCAACCCGTGCCTTACCTAACAGTGTGTTCCCAGGTCCCTGTGCCCAACAGGTGCTTTTTGGGCCCAGTAATGTCTGCTTCTACTCCTAGGCGTGGGTCTGTCACCATCTGTGTTTCTGTCTCTCCGCAGGCTGTCTCTCAAGGTGGTCTCTTGTGCTGCTAGCAACTCAAAAATCCCAACAGCACTCCCTATCCTTCCCCTGACCCCAGACCGCTGCCAAGCCTGTTCTCCCCCATTACAACATGGTCTCACTCAGGGCCTGGACTGCTCCAAAACTCACCCAGGTCTCCAGCTCTCCTCTACCACCCACCACCCTGGGCTCACTTTTGGATAGGAAATAAACTCTTTATTTTTGTAGTTGTTGGCTCTGGGTGTTTCTGGGGGTTAGTCTGAGAGCCCCAGGGCTTTGGAGGAGCCAACACAGCAATCATTCCCCACCCTCACCCCCGCTGCACCCCAGAGCCCTGTTGCTATCTTTAGGAAGGGCAGAGGCACCAGCCAATCTACTTGGCACCACATTCACACCACCAGGGGCCCCAGGGATGAGGGAAAAACTTAATTAGTCACTATGGGCCTATTATACCCGCTTCTCTCCCCTGCACACCAGTCACAGCCATATACACACACAGTATGTGGAAAGGATAGAGTCCTGACTTTGGCCCACCTCCAGCCTTGGAAAGGTGGGCCCAGGGGACTACCCATCCCTCCCATATAAGGAACTGTTCAAGAGCTGGGTATGGCAAGGGGGCTGGGGGAAGAGCTTGTCACCAGCCAGAACCTGCTAGGAATCCCTCTCTGCCCCATCCCCTCTGTCCTCCCAACAAGCCCTCTCTTCCCTCTTCCTTTTCACTTCTCATGATCACTGGCGTGGAAGGGGGTCTTGTGTGTTACGGACGTAAGAAAGAGACGCCCTGGTGACTAGATGGAACTAGATGTGGGCACAGTTTTGTGGCAGGTTGTCCAAGGCAGGTAAATTCTCCAGCTGAGGCTCCAAGATATGTCTGGTGTTGGCCAGTGTTAGAGGCACAGTGGCCACAGCTGTCCCCGGTGAGCTTTGATTCCACACAGGTTTTCAGTAGTGTCCCTGGAGGGTGAGATGCAAAAGAAGAGGAGGTACTGGTCTGTGTTGAGAGGTAAGGGTGGGAGGAATCAGGAGCGGGCCCCATCCATATTGAGACGAGTAGAAGAAACAAATATTCCTGATCCACATGGGGGGGTGCAGAGTGGGGGTGGTTCTAGTCTTTATTTGCGGATGGAGAGGGCCCAGGCAGAGATTGTCCAGCTCTGTATTCCGTGTCAGAGAGAAGAGCTGACCCTGGCTGGGAGCAGGGGAAGGCAGAGGCAGAGATGGTCTTTGTGCCGGCCCCCTGCACCAAGTAGGAGGTGGTGGCAGAAGCTCTCCGTTTGATCTCACCCAGCATCCTGTAGAGAACCCTTCCTACAGCGCTTTCATCGCCTTCCCCATCACAGACGCCCCCAGCAATCGGGCTTCCCAAGCTGACTTGGCCGGAAAGTGCAGACAGGGGCTTCTCCAGATCGGCAAGTTCGAAGGACTGAGGCCTCGCATGCATATTCATTCGCACCATGTTTCTTCTTTCCCAATTCTGCACACATAGTCCTCTGCCTTCTTCCAACGCTCCACCACCCGCCTTCCCTCGGGGCGTCCGGAACCGGCGGTGACCGGGTGGCAGGCTTGGCCTCAAAAAGTTCCCGGCCATAGGCTGGGCGCAGTGGCTCAGGCCTGTAATCTCAGCACTTTGAGAGGCCGAAGAGGGCGGATCACCTGAGGTCAGGAGTTCGAGACTAGCCTGGCCAACATGGTGAAACCCCGTCTCTACTAAAAATACAAAAATTAGCCGGGCGTGGTGGTGCGTGCCTGTAATCCCAGCTACTCGGGAGGCTGAGGCAGGAGAATTGCTTGAACCCGGGAGTCGGAGGTTGCAGTGAGCCGAGATCGCGCCACTGCAATCCAGCCTGGGCGACAGAGTGAGACTCCGTCTCAAAAAAAATAAAAAGTTCCCGGCCGGGCTCGGCCTTGTAGTCAGCCGGCTCCAGCCTAAGCCCAAGTCCCAGGCAGCCACGGACTCCTCCCATCGCCACGAACTACAAGTCCCGCCATCCCTCGCGCGCGCCCTCCCGCCACTCCCGCGTTCCTACCGGCGCCGCTGGGTAGGTCGGCCAAGAGTGCCTCCCATTGGTTTCTCCGCCCTGTCAATCACCTGGGAGTATTGAGGGGCGGGGCGGAGGTAGAGATCCGGATCCGGAGCGGCTGAAAGACGGAAGTGGAGGCCGGAGCCTGGGACACCGCCGGGGGGGGAGAGAAGCAGAGCCCGTCCGAGCCCCGGCCCCAAGTAACGCCGCCGCCCCGGAGCCGCCGTGAGTATTCCTGTCCCAGGACCTGGTGTCTCGCCTGCGTTGAAGCATCTCCAGGGCAGCCCTTCCTCCCGCCCAGCCCCAGTTTAGGGGGATACTGACCCCTCCCCCGACCCGTAGCCCCCTCTTGAGGGGTTCCCCAGGCGTCGGGCCGCAGGAGATGGGGAGCTTCTTTCCTTAGCTTACCTACCTTTCGTGAGCCTTAAGGAAACCGCTATGACTGTCCTCTGGCCTGTCCATTCCAGTTGTGGGAGAGAGGTGCCTAAGTTCCGCTCCCCCTGCTCCCAGAATCGGAGGATCTTTGCCAGGTGTGAAGGAACCTGTCCCTCTTCTCTTTTAGAAGTGACGGAGAGTGCTGTCTGTCGCCGTTTTCCTTCCTGCTGTCCCACAAAACCAGTTGTCCCCTCCAGCCCTAGAGGAATATCTCGATTTCCTTTGGGGGAGGGGGTCGTCTGGGTGAGACCGTTCCACACGCACAGAAGTGTGTTGGCGCTCCCGCAACTCCTTACTTCCTCTCTTTCCTCAAGCCAGAGAACCATCCAGGACCTCAGCAGAGTTTAAAGTTTGGGTCACTTACTGGCAATGAGCTGTTTTCTTGCTTTGCCCCTTCTGTCTCCCAGCCCCTGTTCTCTAGTTATGTTGTTCTCTGAGTGTCTCTCTCTTCCTGACTCTGAAGAATTTAGCTGAGGTTTGCTCAATTCCAGCTATAAATCACAGATCAGGGTGGATGTGCCCATTCATTATCTTCTTTCCCCTCCCCCCTTGCTCCAGGCTCAGCTCTGTCCTCCCACAGCACGTGAGTGGTTTCCAAGCCGCCTCAAAGGGACTGCTGCTTTTGGGACTGCTGTCCGTGTGTCTATAGGGAGGAGAATGAGACCCAAAATGAGGAGTCTGGAATTGAAGGGCTATCTCTTTCTCACTCCCAAACACACACACACACCCCACGCTGAGCAACAGGTCCATGGCACGCCAGGGTCTGTCTCCAGTCCCTTCTGGGCTTGGACTTATTACTGAGGACTAAGTCAAGATCACAATGGCAGTTCAGGATTTTTAACTGTAGCCCAAGGAATTCCCATACATGCCAGAAAGTGCAGGTTCCCTCAAGCATATTGACTATGATCCTTGTCTGTTGCTTGGGGCTTTGGTGTGTGAAATAGCTGCTGTCTCAGACCAAGCTTTGTTATGTGGCCAAAGTACAGGCCGGAGACTGTGCCTTAATGAGGAGTAGCCTGGCTCTGAGGCCATGACCGATCCTTGCTATCTACAGTGAAGGAAGGGACAGAAAACCATGCAGTTTGTGGGAACTTCTGTAGCACTTCAGTGTTCTGGGCTACCTTTACCACCCTTGCGTGCCACTTAAAAGTGCTGTCTTTTGACCTTGAGGTGTGTTTGAGTGCTTCTGGACAGCGGCTAGTGTCTGATTCCTACATTCTTTTGAGTAGACCTAGGATGTACTTATTTCACTTTTTTGTTTGTTTATTTTCTTTTTTTTTTTTTTTTTTTTTTTAGAATTCGCTTGTCCAGTGGATCGTGCCTTCGCTCCTCCCCTCCGGGTCACCCTCCTCCCCTCCCGGCTACACCCCCCCCTCCCCTGTTTTTGTTTAGTAGAGACGGTTCCGTGTAGCCAGGATGCTGACTTGATCCCCTTCTCCTCCAGTGCTGGTCGCTGCCCCGCCCCCTGTTGTTTATTTTCGAGATGGAGTCTTGCTCTATCCTCCAGGCTAGAGGAGTGCAGTGGCGTGATCCCGGCTCACTGCAACCTCTGGCCTCCTGGGTTCAAGTGATTCTCCTGCCTCAGCCTCCCAAGTGTCTGGGATTAACAGGCATCCACCACCACGCCCTACTAATTTTTGTATTTTTAGTAGAGAAGGCGTGTCACCATGTTGGCCAGGCTGGTCTTGAACTCCTGACTTCAGGTGATCCACCCGCCTCAGCCCCCCAAAGTGCTGGGATTACAGGTGTGAGTCACTGTGTGCGGCCTACTTACTTCACTTTTTATTGGACAACAGAAGAAGCCTTCGTTATTAGGGTCAACAGCTGGATCACAAGCTCTGTATCTGTGTGGGTTTCTTTGGGGCTCATTGGAGACTTCTTCAGCCAATCTAGTTTCTCTGATCTGGTCAGCCTGGGTATCTGAGCGGCAGGGCCATAGAGGCCTGACTGCTCACTGGCCATTGGTCTCTGACCAGACTTAGGTCTTCAGGAGTAGAACGTAGTTTGTCACTCTTCATGAGTGCTGGGATGAGGCCGACCAGGCTTCTGAGGAGATCTTCTTTCCTTTATCTGGACATGGTCTCCCAGCTCTGACTCTGAAACGAATTTTTTTTTTTTTTTTAGACAGAGCTTTGTTTGTCGCCCAGGCTGGAGTGCAGTGGCGCAGTCTTGGCTCACTGCAGCCTCCGCCTCCTGAGATCAAGGGATTCTCCTGCCTCAGCCTCCTAAGTAGCTGGGATTATAGGCATGTGCCACCATGCCCAGCTAATTTTTGTATTTTTAGTAGCAGCAGAGTTTCACCATGTTGGTCAGGCTGGTCTGGAACTCCTGACCTCAGGTGATCCACCCACCTCAGCCTCCCAAAGTGCTAGGATTACAGGTGTGAGCCACCACACCCGACCTGAAATGACTTTTGAAGGGGAAGCTCTGCCATTTAGAGAGACGAGGAAGGCCTCAGTGCTTTGGGTAGTTATGCAGCCACTTCTGGCATCCAGAAATTATAGAGTCCAAGGAGAGGTCTCACTCTGCCTAGCAGAAAGAGCGATGGCTCCATGTGCGCCAGAAACCCTTCCTTTCTGATGCTGTTCCTCTCCTGCCCTCTTGCCTCTCACAATTAGTGGACTGTTAAACTGTAGAGGGGCCGTAACACTAAGTTTTTAAAAATCATTTTAAAGTTGCAAAGTTATTTTCATACATATTCCTCATAGGTGCCCTGGGAAATACTGGGATTTGTTTCCCCACTTTGTTTTTAATTTTTATTATTACTTTTTTTTTTTTTTGAGTAAGATAAGGCAAATATGTGTCCCTGCTTTAGAGGGGATGCAGAAGGAACTTAAGTAGTTTGCCTGAGATCATACATTTAGAAAGTGGTAGAGCTAGGGCTTGGATTTGGGGTCAGATGTGGCCTGATCTTCTAACAGTGGGCCCTTCTTCCGCCTGGTTTGTTTGTTAAATGAATGAACATGCAGGGTGAGCGCGCCGTGGCACAAGGGCAGACTCTTAACCCTTTAGCCCTCCTCATCACTGGCGCTCCTCTGTTTTCGTTTTCTTCACCAACCTCTACCCAACCTCCTGTCTTCTCTCTTGACCCCCTTCTCCTCTGCCTGTGAGGACCAAGACAGTTAGAAGTCCCAAGTCAGTACTCTTCAGGGCCTGAGAGTTTGCTGACATCTACGTGTCATTAATTTTTTGGGGAACCTGAAAGTCTTAATGGCTAGAAAATGAAAGTCAAAGCGAGTGAACTCAGGGGTCCCACTGGGCAGGGTTAAGGGGGAAGCAGCAGAGCGGGCCTCTGGTTAGTCCTCTGTTTCCCCTGTGCTGCTGCCTGCTGCTTACAAGTGGGAAGAATGCAGCTTGCCACCAGGAGCTCCTGTCACTAGAATTTACATGGAAACAGAGCAAGATCACACATTTAAATTCAGCCCCACCAAGCAAGTACTTCTCAGACCTTCTACTTTTTTTTTTTTTTTTTGAGGCGGAGTCTCGCTCTGTCGCCAGGCTGGAGTGCAGTGGCGCAATCTTGGCTCACTGCAAGCTCCGCCTCCCAGGTTCATGCCGTTCTCCTGCCTCAGCCTCCCCAGTAGCTGGGACTACAGGTGTCCGCCACCATTCTCGGCTAATTTTTTTGTATTTTTAGTAGAGATGGAGTTTCACCATGTTAGCCAGGATGGTCTCGATCTCCTGACCTTGTGATCCGCCCGCCTCGGCCTCCCAAAGTGCTGGGATTACAGGTGTGAGCCACTGCACCCAGCCAGACCTTCTGCTTCTAGCCCTTGCCCAGTAAACAGGCCGTGTGGTCAGGTGGAAGGCACCAGAACTTCAGAGGCAATTGGACCTGAGTTCTAATCCTGATTTCCCCACTTACCAGTTGTGTGACCTTGGGCTTGTTACTTGACCTCACTGAGCCTATGTTTCTTCTGGTAAAATGGCAACGCTAAATACCTTGCAGAATTAGAAACAAAGGAGCTAGTCGAGTGCTGGCACAGACTAGATCCCCACAAAACAGCAGTTGCCTCTGATTGGTAGGTAAGGGTTTGAAGGTTCTTTTTTTTTTTTTTTTTTTGAGACAGTCTCATTCTGTCGCCCAGGCTCACTGCAACCTCTGCCTCCTAGGTTCGAGTGATTCTCCTGCCTCAGCCTCCTGAGTAGCTGGGATTATAGGCACCCGCCATCATGCCTGGCTGATTTTTTTTTGTATTTTTGTAGAGACGGGGTTTGACCACGTCGACTAGGCTGGTCTCAAACTCCTGACCTCAGGTGAGGTGATCTGCCTGCCTCATTGGCCTCCCAAAGTGCTGGGATTAGAAGCATGAGCCACCGTGCCTGGCCAATTTTTTTTTTTTTTTTTTTTTGAGACGGAGTTTCACTCTTGTCTCCCAGGCTGGAGTGCAATGGTGCAATCTTGGCTCACTGCAACCTCTACCTCCTGGGCTCCAGCTATTCTCCTGCCTCAGCCTCCTGAGTAGCTGGGATTACAGGCGTGTGCCACCATGCCAGGCTAATTTTGGTATTTTTAGTAGAGACAGGGTTTCTCCATGTTGGCCAGGCTGGTCTTGAATTCCTGACCTCAGGTAATTGTGCCTAGCCCTCAACACTGATTCTGATTCAACATGTGTACCAAATGTATGCTGAGGCAGGACACAGCAACTCATGCCTGTAATCCCAGCAGTTCGGGAGGATCACTTGATCCCAGGAGTTCAAGACCAGCCTGGAGGCCAGGGGTGGTGGATCACGCCTATAATCCTAGCACTTTGGAAGACTGAGGCAGGCAAATCACCTGAAGTCAGGAG